TAATATTTGGCCTTGTTTTTAGTTTACTGGTCACGCTGATAGTGGAAATTCTCCAGCATCAATTCACTGCTTGCTCCAAAAAAATAACTGGCACCAGTGCAGAGGCAGAGCAGTAGTCCCCCCTTATCCACAGTCAGCTGTGATCCAAAAATACTAAGTGGAAAATTCCAGAAATGAACAATTTGTAAGTTTTAAATCGCCTGCTGTTCTGAGTAGCGTGATAAAACCTCACACCATCCTGTTCTGTCCCAACCAGGACGTGAATCTTCCTTTCGTCCATCACATCCTGTCCACGAGTCTCCTACAGCGTCTCTTAGCTGCTGGCCTGGTGATCAGATTGACTGTGGGGTCTCGGGGTTTGTGTTCAAGTAGCCCTTATTTTACTTAAATAATGGCCCCCAACGGCCAGAACAGTGAGGCTGGCAATTCAGAGATGCCAAAGAGAAGCTGTGAAGTGCTTCCTTTAAGTGAAAAGGTGAAAGGTCTCCACTTTTCTTATTGAAGGAAAGAAGGAAGTATGCTGAGCTTGCTAAGATCGATGCTAAGGATGAATCTTCTGTTCGTTAAATCATGAAGAAGGAAAAAAAATTCGTGCTAGTTTTGCTGTCATGCCTCAAATTGCAAGTTACGGCCACTGCATGACAGTGCTTACTTAAGACGGAAAAGGCATTAAATATGTACAATAAGGTATTCCAAGAGAGAAAGAGAGAGACCACGTTCACATAACTTTTATTACAGTGTACTGTTATAATTGTTCTATTTTATTATTAGCTATTGTTGCTAGTCTCTTACTGAGCCTAATTTATAAATTACACTTTACTTAGGCATGTATGCGTGGGAAAAAACACAGTATATACCGGGTTCAGTGCTATCCTCAGTTTCAGGCACCCACTGGGGGTTTTGGAATGTAATCCCCGAGGATAAGGCAGGGCTGCTATCGGGAAGAGGCAGGGATTTCCAAGGTGTGTTAACAGAAGTGAACAGGATTACCTACAACTCGACCCCTTAGGGTGTGAACACTTGAAAGGTGACGCCACCGAGGAAGTCCCTTTCTCCCTGAGTGGCCCCAGCCCACCTGCACGAGCGCACCTCCGATTCCCCGTGGCGAGTCTTGGGGGCGTTTGCGCGCGCACGCGTGTGCAGTGGGAGGACCTTCTCTGGGGACACCTCTCTGGAGACTTTGGTGCAGTGGGTCTCGGGCAGGACCTTGGCAAAAGCGTGTGCTTAACAAGCTCTCCAGGTGATTCTTACACACCATAAAGCCTGAGAGCCAGCATGGTCTGATGGTTAACGATGCAACTGGCCTTCAAGTTGGAGGGTCAAGCTGGCAGGGGCTACCCACACATCAGTCTTAAAAAATGAAAGAAGCAGCCTTTGTTTCCTGAAAAACACACAGTCAGAATGTTTGTCTCACAGGATACCTACACCCTATGCCCAATTTTGGCCAAGTAAGTGCCTAACAGTTGGGGAAACTGCTCCCTGCAACATGCCTGCTTTTCCATGTACCGCACACTAGGACAGGAACATCTCCTTGCATCATACCGTTTTCACGTTACTAGGTGGGGACGAAGGTGAGCTGAGACTAACACTGTCCATTTCAAACAGGGAGGGACGTGTCAGCATCCTCCCCCTTGAAAGTGAGCGGTCCCCCAGGGACGACCGCCCAGCTCAGACACAGGTGCTCGAGGCTGGAATCACAGCGTGGTGATCCCCCTCCTCAGGCTGCTCAAACACAGAGACATTCTCTGAAGATGCAGCTGAAAATATCTCCCTTCTCAGATTAACAACGGACAACTGGAGAGACTTCCCGACCGCCTTCCTCTTCCTGACAAGAGGCAAAGCAATCAGGAAAAGCAACTCGATGAATGTGGCCGGAAGTGGGCTGTCCCACACGCCTGGGACTCACGCAGACAGAGCTCAAGACTTGTCCTCACACCCTCAGACCGCCATGCGTGGCAGCAAACTACTCCGGGGTTCAGACAGGACCAGGGGGAAGAGGAGGATGTTGCAACCAATTGAGAGACGAAGCACCACTTGAGGCAGAATGAAGAGCTGGCTGGCTTCCACGGTGACTGTGCCCTTGAGACCAGGGCTGGGCACTGTGGGAGGGCCAAAGTGGCCACAGGAGGAAGAGGTTATCCTGCTCAGAATTTCAGGCAGTGGTCACATAGGGCTAAAGAAAGGGGGTAACACCACACCCAGAGGGGGGCCTTCTGAAGGTGGAAGACCAAGAGCAGAGTTAGTGAGAGCCCGTGACTCTCGGCAAATGAGCCTTCCACACCCGTCACAGCAGCGGTTTTGCCTGCCGCCCAGATCTCCCGAGGTGGGGTCCCCAGCACCCGGGCCTCAGGGCAGACACGGAAGCACAGTGAGCCTGGAGAGTCTGTCTGTTGGGAGACGGGTGCCAATGTCACGTGGGCACCGGACGGTGCGAACACGAGAGCCCAAAGTCAACTGAGGCAATTTATGAACTACTTTTTAAATAGCGATTTTAAGTCTTTTTTTTTCTTTTTGTGGGGGGAAGAGGTAATTAGGTATTTTTAAAGGTACTGGGGATTGAACCCAGGACCCTGTGCATGCTAGGCATGTGCTTCACCACTTGAGCTATACTGTCCCCCGCCAGAGTTTCTAACACTTCTTGCAAGTTACTGTGCTCAATTTTCAGTAAACATGAGTAAAGCCAGTATTGCTCACTCAATGATACCAAGATAACCAAGCAATAAATGCTTGAGTAGCCCAACTTCACTGCGGTTCACCCTAAATTCAGGCCAAGACCTAGGAAGAGCAGCCTCTGGCATGCTGAACCGGCACCCCTAAATGTAAAGTGACAATGGCAGCAGGGAGCTGGCCTCGGCACTGCTGTCCCTCGGGCAGCCTGGTGACCCTCGATGATGCCACCCAGAGCTCGTGCTCAGAGAAAGGCGCTTCCTAGAGAGAACGTCTGCTGTCCCAGCCCCAGCCCAGCCTCCTCCTTCCCCTCTTCTCCTGGGGTCCTCAGGGTCCACTCCCTTCACCTTCAAGCCCAGGCTTCCTGTCCTCAGTAGCCACAGCACTGGGCTCACAGCTTCCCTCTCTGTGCAGCTCTGGTGAGAAACACAGGGCTCTGGAGCTGAGGGGCGACAGCAGAGCACAGAGGTCTACGGAGCGAGTGAGTGCACAGGGAGCAGGTGAGCGAGAGCAGATCCTCCCTCCCGGAGCCCAGCAGGGAAGCAGATGTGTGCAGCACACCTGAACCGGGTGCCAAAGGAACGGCTGGTGAAGGGTGGAAGAAAGAGCCTAGAAATGAGCTGCCGTCATTCAGAAAATGACCCGGAAAGTGGGAGGGCAGCGCAGGTGGAGGGGCCTGGAAAGCTGTCTGAGTCAGGGTTGAGGGAGGTGAGGAGGCAGCTCGGACATGTGTCGTGTGGGAAGGGGGCGTACTGAGACCTGCAGGCTGGGGGTGCGGGGGGGGCGGAGCCCTGGGGTGGGGGTGCCTGCAGCAGCCTGGCCGGGTTGTGGGGGAGCACATCGGCAAACAAGGGGCGCGGGCGGGGCAGCCTCAGCTCGGGGAGCGGGCTGTGCGGGAGCATATTTCCAGCCTTTTCTCTGCGGCCCGGAAGGAAGTGTGGGGAAGCATGTGCGGGCCAGCGTGGCTCTGATATGGATCAGTCCTGGGATTCCAGCTTTAGTGCCTACACATCCACCTCTTAAATGTGTTGTCAGCCTTCTTCTCGGGCAGTCTGAGCTTCGTTTCTTATCAGCTTCCACTTTCACCTGTTCAACATCCCCTCCAACACAGCCCATCCCGTCTCCCCAGAGCGGACTCACGAGCATCCCATTCCCGTCCGGGCCCGGCGCGCTGACTGCGGGCCAGATACCGGGCGGAGATCCCAGGCCGTGTTCCTGCCCCATCATCCAACAGCCCCGCCAGCTGGTGACTGGACTTTCCCAGCTTCTGGGTCAGGAATGAAGGGGCAGAGAAGCGAGCTATCAGCCCAGGCGCACCGCTTAGCAAGTGGAGGGATGAGGCTCAGCCCTAGGTCTTCCTGACTCCAGAGCCAGAGCTCATCTGGCTGGCACCAGAGGGACCTTCTCAACCCTGGCTGGGAGCCCTGGAGGAGCTGCGACCAACACCCGTGCAGGACCCTACCCCCAGAGATGTCGAGTCAGTTTGTGGTTATTTTTTTAAACCCCCTCCACTTCCCCGTGGATTGGATTGGATTTTAACGTGGAGCCAGGGGTGGGAGCCAGACGCTAGACTGCAGGATGGCGAGGTCCTTGCCTCTGCTGTCCTGGGCCCAGTGTCGTGGCTGGCTCATGTCAGAAGTGAAGTAAACCCTTGTTGGATGAGTGAGGAATGAGGGCTTCGCACTTTCCCACTAAGGGTACTACCATCCTTCACCTTCCTGACCCCAAATCTGGAGTTCTCCCACCACAGGAGACGGCTGACGGGTCCTCAGGTACAGACACTCCCTTCTCCCACCCTTTTCCACAGGGACGTAAACATCTCAGAGCATCACTTTCATCCCGTTACCCTCTGTTGTCCACATGCTTTGGCGCTTGCTCTGGGTTCACTGATACAGCTGCACCCCTGAGTCTGGTATCTAAGACCTCAACATCCTGGTCCCAACCTCTCCTTTCAATCAGATCTTCCACCCTCCCTGCTCCAGATTCTCTGTGAGCCCTGTGCATTCTTGTACAAGTGACTTCATAATGCATGTCCCTCTCTCTCCCACATCCACACCCGTGGGATGTGTAGACAGCCCTGCCATGCCTTTGCTCTTTGCCCAGCCACAAGGAATCCCTCCCAACTCTGAACATCTATACCAAGAATCTTACTTGGCTTCATTCCTACAGGGTTTCTACTCATCATTTCAATGTGCACAAGTCCTAATTTCCCAACTCAATTATGATCACTTGAGAGCAGCAATCTGATCTCGCCGGCAGCGACCAACACCGCACACGCTCTGTGAATGCTGCTGGGCACTCCGCATCTCCTGTCCCGGTGCAGACGGCCTTACCTGTAATATCTCGACTGCAAGTAGGTGGAACACACAGCCTTGGACACGTGACTGGCTGAACCAAAGTCAATGACCTTCACTCTGTACGGCTGTCTGGATGGATCTACCAGCATGATGTTTTCTGGCTTGAGGTCAGCGTGGATAAGTCCTAGGCTTTTTAGTTTCATCAGGGCTGTGGCAACCTGCTGGAGGACTGGGCGAATGTATTTGAGGGGCAAGGGGCTAAACTTGTTCTGCTTCAGAAAGTCATAGAGGTTCTGCTCTAACATCTCAAAGACCAAGCACGTGTGGTTCTTGTGCTGGAAGCACTCGTAGGCGCGGACGAAGTTGTAGTCGTCAGCGCTCTCCGTGCTCAGGCGGGCTAGGATGCTCACCTCGATCTGACCTTGCCGGGCGTAGGACGGGTGGTTCTTCAGGATCTTGATGGCCACGATTTCATTGGTGCCCCGTTTCCAGCACTTCACCACTTGCCCGAATGTCCCTCGGCCCAAGAACTCGAGCACTTCGTACGTGTTGGTCATGGAGCACAGCACCTCATGCTGGACCAGCTGGTAGTCACCCTCGCTGTTGGAGCCGCTGTTTTTGGAGGTGGCAGTCGATGTGGTGGCAGTGGCGACAGTGGCCCCACTCGCATTGTTCTGAATCATGGGTGGGTGCTCCTCGATGATCTGCACGCTGCTCGTGTTCTCGATCTCCTCACTCTTCCGCTTGAGTCCGCATTTCTGGTAGGTGTCAAGGAGGCTCACAGTGCTTCGACGCATTAGGTTGTGCGGTCCGCCGAGGACCTGCCCGGTGACAGAAGTGCTACTTGCTGATGTGACGACTATGTGCCCGGTGCTTCCTGGGAAGATGATGGTCTGCTCGTAAGGTAGGCTGGGGTTTGGGATCGGCAGGGAGGTGCTGACGGTTGTGGCTGGCTGAGGAGGCGGCACGTTCTTGCTCTGGCCGTACACTTTGCTGTGGGAGCCGTACCCAGTCATGTCCCAGTTGGAACTCGGCTCTACTTTCAGTTTCTTCACGCTACAGAAGGCACTTGATTGAAGGGTGTGAGGGGAGAAAACTTGCACATGTGAGGCCATACCTGCGAGAACAAGGGTGGGGAGAATGAACATTTTAGTCGCCGTTGCACGAGCAAACTCAGCAAAGTCACTTGAGTTGTGACCGGCAGTGTGGGCCCTAGAGAGTGTTTTCCTCCCACTGCAGAACGAGGCCGGAAAAGTGAATCTATTCCACCCAGAAGCACGGTCTGGGCACTCGGTTTGGGGGCCCCAGGAGTTCCAGTGGTGCACCTGCCACCATAAGGAGGGTAGGAGACTTGAAGCGGGGATACAGTGCAGACTCAGAGACAGAATTTGAATCCCAGGACCTGGTTCATTACCTACTTTTTAAAAAAATATTGTTTGCGATAGACACAAATTCTTCCTCAATTCTCACTGGGTTGCAATCCTGTATTAGGTGGCCCAGCTAACTGTTACACACCTAGCTGTCCCACATGGTCAGCTACTCCTTGTCACAGACCCTAAAGCTGTCAGGTTTACTCATTCGAGGAAACATCCTCCCATGTAGGTCCAATCACGGAGCCACTCGGGATCTGCTAGCTTTCAGATGAACCATAATTACCCCCTGGCATCTTAGTCACCTTAAATAATTCTGCAGGGTTGAATCGACTAGCAGTCGGTCTGATGTCCTGATGTTTGGATTCAGATAGTCTGAAACATTTTATCAGCTTTTTTGAGGGGGGAGTGGGTAGCACAACTCATGGGTTCTAGTCACTCACTTTTCCTTCTACGTTCGTCTATCAGTCAATTTATCTAGAAAGTACTGTTATTTCATGTCAAAATCTCATCCACAATTTAGATAACCTCAGACATCAATAAGACCATAACTCCGGAATAGCTGGACAATGTATAATTATGGTGATACTGGAAACAAACAAAAACTCACAACGTATGAGGGAAAAGTAATAAGGCGACGAGGAAGGATAAGGCCTTAAAGGGAAAAACAGAAACAAACACTGCCCATCTTCTAAGCTGCAGCTGAGAAACATCTATAAAAGCACAAGGAAAGTGGGGTTTCTACCAAGCACCTCGGTGTGTAGCCGTCCTGCGGTCTGTCTCTCTGACCCCCTAGCACGACCCAGGGTGGTTCTTTACCATTTTCCTTTTCACCTTCTCACCCATCAGTCACCCTAGTCCACCCTCTCCCTCAGCAACAACCCACCTTCCACTTTGTCCAGAAGCCCAAGGCCAGCAGCCTTGCTGTCCAGCTTTATTCTCTTCATTTCAAAACACTCCTGAATTTACACCCGCCGTCCGTGCTCCCTTCCATCTTTCCAGTCTCTGAGGAAGAGGTCTCTCTCCATTCTGACATTAAAAGCTCCCCCTGTTTTCACAATTCACCCTCTCCCACTCTCTCTTGAATTCTACATGCCCTCCACTGTCCACTCTCTAACGGCTTTCAAGTTCTCACTGTTAACTGGATCCAAGTCCTTGGTAGGTACTTAACAAAGTGTTGCCTAAAGAATCAGTGACAATCTCTTCTGCCTTCACATATACACAGGTGCACAAGGAGACTCCCAACGTGGAAGGCAAGAGTAACAGTGTATCCTCCCTTTCAATCCTTTCCTTCTTCTCACCTGTAATCAATGGTTTATGCTCCCTTTTCTTCAAGGCTCGCTCTTTAATCCATCTCCCTGACACACACACCCACACTGTGCTCTTAAAGGTAAATGACTTCCTAATTGCCTAACCCAATGGCCCTTGTCCAGCCCCTATTCTCTTTGACTTCTTGGCAACCTCTGATCTGCTGACCACGACTTCCCCCTTGATGCTCTTATCTGTGCTGTGTGAATCTGTAACCTCCCCATCCTGTCTGATTACACACTGTGTGCTTGGCTGGTTCCTCTTCCTCCTTTAAAATGTTGGCATTTCCAACATTTGGACTCTGTTCTCTCTGGATTTAAGCTGTCACGTTGTCATATCTATGCAGACAACCCCCACGTGTTCATCACAGGCCAAGTTCTCCCTCGCACCTTCCAGTAATGATTGCTGCCTCCTGCTACAACATCAAAGATCATCTTCCAGAGACTAACTCCTTATCCTTCCCTAAAAATCTAGCCATCTCACACTCCATGATAATGTCCCCACGTCTATTCATAAAATACTCTATTCTAGTCACCTGGATCCAAAACTGTGGATTTACCTTTGGTGATTCTTTTTTGCCTCTATGCACAAGATGATGTGGAGTTCCTTCCTTCAAAATTTCTTCCTTCAAAATGTCCTTTGAATCCATCTCTTTGTTTCTGTTCTTGCTGCCACTTCCATAATTAAAGCATTTATCACTCTCTAATAGACTAAAACAAACAGAGACATCTGGTCGACCTGCGCACTTGTTCCTCCTCCAGTTTGTCCATCTTTAGCCACCAGACTATCTTCCTAGAGCATTTTTAAGCATGTCACTCCTCTGTCCAAAAACTTCCAATGATTCCTTAGTGTCTAGAAGATAAATCTGAGTAATCTTAACGCCTTCACATTTTGATTTCAACTGCTTTGTTGGCTTCACTTCCAACTATTAACCTTCCTGAATCCTCAGTTTTAATTAAGCTGTTCTATTCACTGTTTCTAGAATGTCTCTATATTTCTCACCTCCATGCTCTTACACCGTTCCCCCGTTTGGCACGCCTTCACCATTTCTCTCAACTTATCCAAAGGCAAGAATTCGACACTTCCTCTTCCCAGGCGCCAGCCCCCGACGGTGCCCCAGCTCTCCATTCCTAAGGCGCTTACCGTTCATACTGCCCATCTGGCCACAAGCCGCATCTACGTCTTACAAAGTCTCATCTTGAATTGAATTACTTATCTTTTGTGCTATATAACTTTCTACGCATTTAAGTCATGTTTCCATAACCAGGCTATATTCTGAGGGCACAAGCAACAGTTTATACTTCATACTTCTTTTTTCCCCTCTAACATTAGGCTGAGTTTATTATCCATGGTAGGCACTCAGCTGATGGAATAAAGCCTTTTAACTGGCCAGGACTCCGAGAGACCTTAGTTCTCCAGCTACAGAGCAATTACTAGTCACAAGCTATGGAACCTGGCCTTACTCTGGAGCATAAAGAAAAACTTGCCAATATTTTTGTACCCAAACCAAGGCAGAATCCAGGCAGCTCCTGTCCTGGGGTCAGCAGTCACATTTGTCCTAATTCATCCTGGCTGTGCTCTGACTTCCCAGGGGCAACCTCAGCCTGTCTAACACCCAATGCCTGCCCTGAACTCCCTTTGACCGTGATCCCTAGATCTGACAGAAGCTTCCTTTCTTGTCTGGTTCCTGAATTCCAGTATCTACCTGTGCAATAGGACTGACTTCTGTAGGTAGTCTTCTGCCTAACAGGACAATTTTGGCTTGATTATTTAGAATTCACACGTCACCTGTTTCTTCCTACTGTACTTTCTGCTGAGGTCAATCTCTCCTTAATTCTGTAATAACATAGAGAAAGGCTTTTCCATATTTATCAGTATTAAATAACCATACTGTCTAGATATTTTATGCAATCTCTTGGCTTTTAGTAACTTATCCACTGAGCAGGCAAAGCAAAATGAGCATTTCCCTTATTTGGGGGGATCCAGCTTGCCCCTTACTCCACCACCCTCAAGTACTTCGTGGCAGGACTGGGCGGAGGGTGGGGGGCGGCGGCCAGGGGTCAGAGGTGGCAGGAGAAATATGGTGCTGTTACATGAAGGAGATGCAGGTCTCTTCTATTTTGACTGTTTCAAAAAATCTCAGTGGAAAGGCCAGGGTGTAGAAGTGGAATTTTACAGAGGGGAAAAGGATGGTTTATGACTTATTTGCTATTGGGATGACAGCCAAGGGTCATAAAATTGTGGAAATTGTCGCTGGCTACCTCTGGTGACAGATTCCCAGGATCAGAGAGGAGATTTGCATGGCTAGAATCCGGCTGCCCAGACCCTGGCCTGGCCTGGTGTGGTCACTGCTGCTCCTTTATAAGGTCAGCAGCCACTTTTCTAAGAGGCAGACACAACTCCCAATACAGCCTCACTTCCCCTCCCTCATATAACATCGTCTAAATTTAAGGTGTACAACATGATGATCTGATATGCATATATATTGCAAAATGATGACCATAATGAGGTCAGTTACTACCTCCATCACCTTAATAATTACCTTTTCTTTTCTGTGTGGTGAGAACATTTAAGATTTACTCTCTTAGCAACTTCCGAGTATACAGTACAGCACTGTTAACTGCAGTCACCGTGCTGTGCATTACACCCCAGAACTTCTTTATTTTAGAACTGGAAGTTTGCCAACACAGTCTTATTACCTTTATTCTGCAGCACAGGCCATTTTGCTCTGTCAAGCAAACTGCTCAAAGAAGATGTAGCAAAAGAAAGTCTTAAATAAAAATAATAATTACTACTACTACTATTATTTATTTTTAAATCTCTAAATTATCTTATAAGGGGATAAACTGCTGCTGGTAGCTGCGTAGCTTAGCCATAATCCTGCAGGAATGACCACACTTATTTTCAAACATTTCTCCTTGAGAGTATTTTTCTGGAACAAATCCTCCTGATGAGTGGAGCTCGCAATGAGTCCAGCCCACACTTTTGCATTCTATTTATTCAGGTCCCCAAGGCTGGGGGCGAGGAAGGGGAGGGCCTTTGAGTTTTCCACTCTGGGAAGAGCTGTTTCCTCTCATTTCTTTCTGTGCTGACCTTTGTACTCGCCAGGGCCTGCTGCCCTCCTTATCTGTCAGTGTTCTTTTCAGAAAAGGCAAGGGCGCAGTGAACATTTCTGGTTTGATCCTACAACACAGGAATTGCTTTTAAAGTCATCTCTGCTCTTCCTATTTGGCTCTTAGGAGAGAAAGTGAAGTTTTCGCCTTCCTTGGAAGACTGGGAGGCTATGACTATATGGGTGTGAGGGTGGGTTTTGAGCCCATGAGGAGTGAGGGGCCCTGGAAACCACTGCAATAATCACACCTGCTCCCTAGAGGGGCCACCAGACCCAGACCGGTCCACGAGAGCCTGGGTGGCCTCCCAAGAGAACAGCAACATGACGGCCACATTGTCATTTATAAGAAAGCACAGCAAGTCACAGTTTAGAACTGCAGTTTCTAAAAGGCACATCCCCATTATCACGCCACTCTGTCTCATGAGCAGGTCAAAGTCATAAACACTGAATATTAGATACACCTCAGGGCCTTACATGCTTTTTAACGTTATATGGATGTTATAAAAGTGACCAGTAAAAAGCATTTAAAAACAAATTTATTAAAATTTAAGTCAACTAATATCACACAACTGTATATAATATAGTCTTTGTATATGGCAAGTGAAAAACAGCTCCTATAAAGTGGGCATTAAGGTACATCTCATAATTAGCAGAAGTAAAGTCCATAATTCTAAGAAGTCATTTCTTATTATTGTAAAGACAAAACATTGCCCCTTTCATGCCACAAACAAATCCAGGTTCCCGGCTACTTGGAGTGCATTTCTGACAGCCTGCATGCTAAAGGCAATAAATGTGCTAGGCCCTCCTCTGGCCACTTTATTCAAATGTTCATTTTGCATTAAAAAAAAACATGCACGTGAGTCTACATTTCAGAATACTAGTTTTAAAACATTTGCCTTCTACTCTTTATTATAGATGCCATTTACATCCGTAAAAGGCTATCACACTTGACTTCAAACCCTATTATCAGGATTCGCAGGATTCTCCAGACTTTAAAACCTTGAGCACCTAGTACATACCAGGCTCTAGGCTGGACATTTGATGCACAGGGCAAACACACGTCTGAATTTGTCTGGGACAATCCAGAATTACCCTTGTGATGCCAATTCAATTAACAAGAGCACCCTCACTTTCGTTCTTAGAAGGGTCTTAGTTTGAAAACTAGGATGTCAAGGGATGGGTTTAGATTCCTATAAGTGGAAAAACCAAATCCTGACCCCAAAAGTTTGAACCTGGATAATTCTATGCGCCTCTTTATCTTAATAGTTTAATGAGAAATTAATTTTTCTAGGGTTAAGAATAATTTTTTCCACTTAAAAAAAAAGAATAGTTAAAGATCTTCATGATCTTCCAGAACTCTTAACTCATGAGAATTTTTAAAAGGTCATTTGTTAAAGGACTGGCTCATTTATTTCTTTTTTTTCCACTTATTTGCTTAGTTTCTTCATGATTTTATATTTCACAATTAGATGAACTGAAAAGTTGCTTCACATCTGAGTACATTTCCTTTCCATTTCACCACCCCAAAATTATCTACTGGAAGATCAGACTCTGGTGAAACTACAGGGATGAGTGAGGGTTCAATCATGATTTAAAAAAACTAAACTGAATTCAATTTCACTGAATTCTATCAAAGCTCAAGAGAAGAAATTATAAGTTAAATAGGGGCACTTTCTATCAGCATATAACGTTTAATTTTGGTGTTGCAGATGTGAAATAGATTACCACTCAGAATCTAGTCACATTATTAAAGAGAACAGAATCACGAACACCTTAGTTTAAAAAGTGCCAACTTCCCCACTTCCTAAGGTCCTTTTGACACACACTTCTACCAAACAGTAAGTTTTCTTAGAAGCTACAGATTTTTGGGGGGGGGGGTAATCCAGAACCCAAAGGAAGGATTAATTCCTATACCTAGCTGAATGCTAGGTACGTATCTCTTACAGATCACATTATGAACATATGATACAATAAAATCATAGGATATGTCAAAAATGTCAAAAATACATGAATGTTGGAAATATGCATCTAAATGGACATTTTTAAACACCTAGAAAAGTGTTAATCTGTATAATTCTTGATTACCCTGTATAATACCACAATTTGATGTCTTAGGGAGTTGAAAATAATAGAAAAAATTTCTTCATTGACATATGAAACAATGTTCATAAAATTTCAATGACACTCATCCTGCTTATCAAGATTATATTATCAAGTAGTGCAAAGATAATTTCAAGTTAGCCCATTCCTAAAGGATATATTTCTAAAATAGTGTATACTGTCTGTGGGACCTATATTTCCATCAAAGTCTGTTGATCCACTAGGTGTGTAATGTTAAAAACATAGTAT